AAAACTTTCCGATATTAAAAAAAAACACACTTTTTAACAAACGGAAATTTTTCGTGTAAAAGGTTGCACAAAGGTTGTCGGATGCACGTAAAACTCTAAGATATAGCTTAGAGGATGCAATGATTTGGTGGATATCGCGATTGCATTTTTACCCAATACATCGTCATGATACTTACTTGTCTTGTCCTTCATTTGTTTATCAGATAAGAAACATCTACCAATGCCATCCTTGCTTCCAAAGCGTTCACTTCCTCAAAGTCACGTGAGTAAAACACTTTCGACTCCTTTCCCTAAACTTATCAAAATAGCAAAAAACAGATCTGTTTTGGTTATAAAAAAGAAAACAAGACAAAAAKAAAATTAACAAGGACGTGAAAGACGTTATTTCGCTACACTCAATCGCGAGAGATCTTTTCAACACTCGAAGATAAATTCCGTATCTCCGCGCGCCCATGTTATATCCTTTATTTATTTGTTTGATTTTCAGTACATCAAGCAAGGGTACATTTGCACACATTATTATCAAATTTGGATGTAAAGCAGCTCATTTGAAGCCTCTAGTGAGCAAACTACAGAAAGGCGCCATTGTTTCAGCAAGTAAGCTAGAACATTTTAGAATATTTTAATACCTATCTTTTATGTAAATTTATCAATGTAATACAGATACGATTCTTACAATAGTCTCCTTCGATGTTACCTGCGCCATTTTGAAAGGTACCCATGCCTTTACATCGAACATCGAATCGAGACAACCGTTGAGCGTACAATGATAGATACCTGTGAATAATTGTCTGTAGGTGTGAAAGAAGGTTTCTGTCATTGCACGCTCAACGGTCGTTTCGCTTCGATGCAAAGGCACGGCTACCTTTCAAGATGGCGCAGGGAACCTTGAAGAAGACTATTCTCATCTATTACATACTTTCAGGTTGCCATGACGGGAAATGTCCTCAGACACCTCTTCTTGCCCAAACGGTCCCAGGATGCACCATGGTCACTGCTTGCCCGGTTATTCCAGCTTGTATGGTTCCCGCTTGTCCCGCTCCACCTCCTCCTCCGCCCCCACCGCCTCCTATGGTGTATACCTGTCCTGTAGGTTGTCCAGCTWCTTGTGCGCCATCCTGTATTCCAGCATGCTGCAAGTCAGCGGTTAAACACAAGAAAACAAAGCAATCACGTCTACAATATAATGACTATAGACGTCTCTATGGCTACTATTAAATTGCGAACATATTATGGGGGGTCTATATCGTTTGTTTAGTAGTTGTGTGATATAAAGAATTATAGGACGAKGRTCGATTGAACAAGAGGTACAGAAMTTCACAAGAAACCTTGATAGACTCTATACAGGTGACGTCGAGCCAGATTTTTCTGGTGGAAGAAGTTTAAACATTTTTGCTTGATTGGAAATTTGGAACTCTATCCTGGAGATGATGATGATGAAATTCATAGCTCTCTATATTTGAATCGTCAATTCCACAAATGATGATGTGAGTACGCAAGATCCAGGCGCATGAGCAGTGGATAATTTGCTGTGGTATTTCCCATCATTGTTGAGAGAAGATTTAGTACAGGATAGTGTTTGCATGTAGAATTGGAACTGGATGATTTCATTTTGAATCAATTTAGACTATCAATGCTTTGAAAGTGTAACGAAAAGAACATACTTTATAAATAAATGAATAATGACGTCATTTATATCAAAATGAATCTATATAATTTGTTAGACAACATGACGTTATTTAATGTGACGTCATAGCTCATATTTCATAGATCATTACATGTATTACTGGCGTACTTTATAAAATTGAATGACGTCATTTATTTTAAAACGTATGTATATGATGTATACTAGACAACATGACGTCATTTCATTTGACGTCATGGCTTATTCCATAGGTAATTACTTGTATTAGTGGTAGGTATGCGTAAGGATCGAATAATGACGTCACCAGTGACGCTGGTGACAGTAATTTGAATATGATATGACGTCATGCCGCGTACGTATTACTAGGGCAACTTATGCAAGTGCTACGTCAAAGTATGTTAAATATTATTATATAGATATATTAGCTCAATGATAATATGTTTTCAAGATGGCTCTTGTACAAATTACAGTGTAAACAGTTAGGCTTGGTTTTAATAAAGGATTACAATGTCTTATTGTTTATTTTTTATGGCTGAGTTCCTAATCTGCATCAAGAGTGCCTGATTATCTGTTGTAAGGGTTAAAAGCTCTATCCACTTGATCAATCCTTATCCAGAGGACAAATCCCATACAAAATCTAAGGAGTGGATAAATTTAACCGGTGGATAACTTTATCAACCCT